ACGATGTGTCTCGGTTTGGAGTGTTGGATAATTTCTCGGCATTTCCTTTCGAGTCCTTTTTACAAAGTGTCCGTAGCAGTATAAAATGGCTTACTAACGTAGCCGCGCAGGTTTTCGAGCGCTTTTCTGAAAGACGCTTGCCTGAGTTATCAGCATGCCCAATGCTGCTAGACGACGATGAGGGAGTAGCACGGGCATTTAAACTGCCTCGCGGATCCACCGCAATTTTTCATAGAGACTTTGTTTTGTCAAATAAACAGCCCGATAATGTGGTACTTATCGGAAATAGACCGTGCCTGCTGACATCAGTGTCGGATACCGGCATAACTTACCGCCCGTTCCTTGACTGTGAGGACTTTTTACAACATCCCTTCCCTCATCCTCCTTGTATATGTTTAAAGCCTCCCGTTTGTCAGACATTCCTTCAACTGCTGCCCTCTCAGACATCATTTGTAAATATGTTCCCTTTGCTATTGACGGTCGTTTTTTTCTGATTCCGTTACTGCACACTGCGCGTGCGCGGTGACTCTTGTTTACATTGTTCATTTGATATAAACTTCCCTGTATATGTATTCGGTTGTCGAATTCATAAATGACAAGACTGTGGCCGTGGTGGCTGCAGCCTGGTTTTACGACGTTGGCAGCGTTATGTGGCCTAAGAACCACAAAGAGCAGGCCGTCCTGCTGAATAATAACAGGCGGCCACCAGACGGCACCAATGTGTACGCTGTTTGGCTACTAAAAAGTAACCTGACACTGCTGAAGGCCAGACAGCTGGTCCGGAAAGCAGAGCTGTCGGACAACCTTTCTAGCTCTGAGCCGGGCGAATTAGGCAGGGGGGTGAGGAGAAAGTACATGTCCAATACTGTTCATATGTCTTTGCAGGTATGTCCGCTGGCAGACGTCGGATTCAGACGATGATGACGAACCACTTTATCGTCCGAGGCAGCTACTTGGTTGGCCAACACCACCACGAATATTACAGTAAGCATAATTATCGTTAATTATTCGTACGCCAAGAATGGACGAACAGATGCCCCACCTCTTCTCTCAGTCGAGTCACCCTACGCCATCGACTTCATATCGGTAACTGCCTGTTATTAATTATTACCGAAGGCT